GCTCGAGCGGGAAAAGTCACCCTCGAACGGAGATCTTTTATCTGCATGTCCGCTCGAGCGTAGAAAGCCACGCTCGAGCGAGACCCCTGTTTTCTGAAAATTTTGAAAAGTGTTTTAAAGTACATCTTTGCATTCTCATTTCATCCTAGGCATTCCTATGCCTAGTTTAAGGCATCTCAATGAGGTTATTGATGTAGAACCACACCGAGTCAAGTAAGGGGTTAAGTTATTAAACCCAAGTGTATAACTTAGTGTGTGTTCGTTCTGTAACTGTAGGGTTGGCATCCGAGAATGCTCATTAGCTGCTTATAGCCCAGTGCTCTGTGAGTAACAATGTTGTAAAGATATATTCAATCATGAATATTTTCTGAATGATCAACTGTATTGCTTTCTGAAATGATATTTCTCATTGAATGAATGCTTGTCCTATTTGCGAACTGTACTCGTGGCATCCATAGCAATTTACTGTTACTGTACTATACTGCTACTGTTATAGAGATCTCTGTCGGTTCCTATGTTTGGAACCACTACTGTTTACTGTTATGATGGCCATCAACTGACTGTTCGGTCTGTTAAGACCTACTGTACTGTTTACTATTGGATGTACCACATATAACTGCTATGGTTTCTAAATGACTGATATGACTGTTTAATGACTGAAAAGGATATTCATTCTTAACCTCTTTACACAACTGTTATTCACTGGGCCTTAGCTCACTGTTTATATATATATGTAGGTGTCCAGGCACCGGATCGAAGTTAGGAGCGTTGGGCTAAACTCCCTTTTTGTCAAACCAACCAACGTGCCTCACTGCGAGGTTCCAAGTGTGTTCAAGCTTAGGAGTTTTTTGGGTGTCTCAGTTCACCCTTCTGTCTCTATTTTGTAATACTGTATAGACTTGTGCTGTACTGTTATGGTAGGGATTTGGTCTCTAACCTGAATGCTTGTATATGATGTATGTACATACTATTTTTTGTTCTGAATGTGAATATGTTATGAAAAGTCTTTTTGCATACAGACTGTCACAGCTCATTGGACATCTTTCATTTACTGTTTTGGCTTCCGCCAGCCCCTGTACTCTGTATTACTGTTATTACTGTTAAGCAGGTCTTCGGTAATCACGGATTATTGGCCGGTTACGGTGTTAAACCCATATGGGCGGGTTTGGGTCGTGACAACAACAGAGATTTTAACGAAGTAACATAGGACCCAGCCAAACAATTCCCCATGCCAGAGGAAGGTTAGATGAATGACAGCTGGTTTTTTTGTTTGTATTATTACGTGTGCCTTTGATATCTGTAATCGACAACCATACTAATGAAAAATTATCGAAATACAATCAGGAAAATACCTTGTTGATGCGGGGTACAAGAACCAAAAAGGATTTTTTGCACCGTTTAAGGGATGTCGCTACCACCAAGAACAGTTTCACGTAATTGGACGGCCAAAAAATGCAAACAAAATTTTCAACATGGTGTACTTCTCCTTATGGAGTGCAATTGAACATATGTTCGGCGTATGGAAAACGCGATGGGGATTCCTCCATAACATGCCGCGAGATGATTTCGGGAAAGTGCAAGTGCCATTGGTTGGGGCTTCAATGGCAATACATAATTTTATACGCCGCAACTCGAGCGACGATGAAGCATTCAACAAGGTTGCAAATGCAAAGAATTTTACGTTCAACGACATGCCAAATGGTGACAGTCTTGGTGACAATGATGATGGTGAACCAGAGGGCGACGATGACGTACATATGAATGAAGTGAGGAAATCAATACAGAATGAATTAGTGCGACATCGGCGTCAACTTGGGTTGTAATTCTGTTTGGTCTGTACGAGGTGATGTCAAATGAAATGAATGTGTGAAACTGTTTAAAGTGTCAAAAAAATGTACGGTTGTGTTTGTAAGTTGCAGGTTGTGAAGGGCGTTTACCAGTTGTAATGTGGAAATTAATTAATATAAGAGCGCAATTTGTTGAGAAAAATTAAGAAAATAAATATGCGATTGAATTATAATAATACAAATAATTAACGAAACTGTAATAATAATTTAAAAAAATTTGCTAAGGGTATTTTTGTCATTTGCAATAATTGTTTGGATAATTTGCTAATTGTTTGTATAATAAAAATAATACATTTACTAATAAACTTGTAATAATAAAAAAAATAAATTCAAAAAAATGAAAATAATAAATTTGTAATAATAAAAAATATTTGGTAAAATTTGCAATAATATTAAAAATAAATTAAAATTTGCTGGAACATTGTAAATGTTACATTCAAAAAAGTGTTGACATACACAAGGGCAAAATAGTAAATTGCATTAAAAAGGTAAGGGTATTTTGGTCATTTTGAAGTGATGTGACACTTTTAAAAAATATTAAACCAAAAATAAAAAAAATCAGTTTTTTACCAACTTTTCAAATCACCTCCAAAAAAGTTAAAAAGTTTGGTAAAAAGTCAAAAGCCAGCTTTTTACCAAAACACCCCTAAGATAACTAAATGAAACATCAAGGTTGTGTTTGGTTTAGTTTTGGAATTATGATATGAGTGTAGAATTGTGAGTTGGGTTTTGAAAAGAAATAATTTGTTTGGTTATAAGTTTTGAAAAGAGTTTTGAAAGAAATTTTTGAATTTTAAATTTTAAAAAGAACGGATTGGGTTTACTTGATTGTTCGCCCGGGCATTCTCTCGGACATTCGGCCGGTTGATCAGAATAGTGCAATTTTTTTTTTTCAATTGCAACTTGTTATTTGAAGAAAAAAAATATTTATATTTGTTTAGATATTTTTTAAATATAGAAATTAATTTTTTTAGATTTTTTATAATAAGAATTTAAAGAGTTTTGAGTTTTGAATTTTGAGTTATGTATTTGGTTATGAGTTTTGAAATTAATTTTTGAATTGAGTTTTGAATAATCTTAAATTGTGTATTTAGTTATGAATTTTGAAAAGTGATTTGAAAAGTTTGGCTTTACAATCATGATTTCAAATGCAAACCAAACGGAGCTTAAGATTCTTGAAGGAATGAGCCACAACATACATAAAGTCAACGTGTAATTTATCTTTGAGATGTGGATAGGAGTGCTCGCAGTTCAGTCGTGGTTGGGGAACTTTCAATCTGTCATTCGTTTGTCGGATTGGCGGATTGAAAAAAAAATTAATCCTCATCTGTCCGCATGGATTGGCGAATACGAATTAAGCGGATTGGTGAATGAATTCAAATCGATTTTTGATGAACTCCAAACTCAAATCAAGGATCAAATAGGGAGAGAAAAGACAAATGCCCCAATTAGAGGTAAAACCCTTAAGACTTAGAGAGAGAAACCAAAGTCTACTCCAATCTCAATGTATATTCTTTAATATTACTTCACACTCAAATTATGATTCTTAAAATAATTTTAAAAAATAAAATAAATTTTTTTTTTAAAATAAAGTTTTGAAAAGAGGTTGGTTTTGAGTTTTGAAAAGAATTTTGAATTAAGTTTTGAGTTGTGTGTTTAATTATGAATTTAAAAAATAATATTTAAATTAGGTTTTGAATAATTTTAAATTATGCGTTTGATTATAAATTTTAGGGTAAATTACACTTACACCCCTGAGATTTGAGTTTAATACATATCATCCCCTGACGTTTGGGAAATTACACTAATCCCCCTATCATTGTAATTATTTAGACGAATTGAAGATATTGAACTCGTACACTCTCTCTTTTTTTGCTTTACTTTACTTTCTCTTTTTTTCCCTCTTTCTTTTACTGTTTTTTTTTAATGTAATTTCCTCAATTTTTTTATTATGAGTTGTTACCTTTTATATAAGCAGGGGGAGTTTGTGATATGAGACTATTAACCACAGGGGTGTGAATGTAATTCCCAAAACATCAAGGGGTGGGTAGTAATTGGACCAAACCTCAAGGGGTGTCAATGTAATTTACCCTAAATTTTAAAAAGTATTTTAAAAATTTGCCAAACACATTTCCACCCACATTCATGAGTGTGGTGTTTGTTTTGAGCTTTTAAATTATAATTCCACACCTACTTGTAAAAATTTCTTTTTAGGTGGGCAAATTTGGCTAACCCGGATGTCCTCTGGTTAACAGAAACAGTGTTCATTTTTTTTGTTTTTTTTGTTGCACCTGTTATTTTATATTGTAAATAAAAAATATTTTCAGAATTTTTTAAATTTTTATATGAGCCTTGAATAGAATTTTAGGTTATATATTTGGTTATGAATTGTAAGTTTTTGAATTAAATAACTTTTTTAATTTCAAAAAATCAAAACTCCTTCCAAATTCAATTCAAAACTCTTTTCAAAACTCATAAGAGCATCCGCATAATCAACATCAAATCCTTTCTCCATCATCCTCAACAAATTTTTTGTTAATTAATTTTTTGTTAAATTTGCTATAGTACCTCAATAAAAATAAAGAGGCATTGTTCATTAGCTACATTAGTTTTTATTATATTTGTTGGAGCAAAACTGGGTCAAAATTTTTAAATCTGTCGTCCACCCAGATGTCCTCCTGAATATCCTACCGGATGTCCCATGAGTGCCTGTAACAGAAGAAGAAAAATGTCGAAAATTAGCCTAACCGGTCGACCGACCGATCAACGACAATTTTTTTTTTTAAAATTTTTTAAGAATTGTTTGGATGGCACCTCATCAATTTAATAAAAAAAAGAAAGAATAACAAATATAATAAGAAATTAATATTTTATTAAGATTGAGTTAGAATAAAGAGTTTAATGTAGTGAATATTAAAAATGTGACTAGTTAAAATAAAAAAAAATAAATTTTGGGTTAAATTTGACTAAAAATTTGAAGAAGCTGTTACAGATGCTCTAACCAAATAAAATTTTCACATTCAAATCATAATTTCAAAATTCACAAACTCAAAATACAACGTTATTCTTAAATCATATTTAGAAAACTATTTAAATTTTTCATATAATTTTTCCTCAATGAAACGTCGGAGATACCAAACTCGTGATTTGGAAGTGAAATAAAGGTTGCTTTGGTAATTCGATAGCTATATAAGCAGCGTTCATAGAAAACCCTCATTTCGGAACCCTATTCTTCAGCTGCGGCAAACACTTCTTCTCCCTCACTTCCTCTCCTCCGTCTCAAGGTACCCCCTCTCTCTCTCTCTCTCTCTCTCTCTCTCTCTCTATTTTGAAATTGCGATTTGGTCTAACAATGTTCGTTTTCGTTTGAATTTGATCTGTCTTGTTTGATTTAGGTTGGGTTAACAATGGCTCCTAAAGGTACGTTCATGCAATTAACACTTTATTTTTTAAATTTAAAAAAAAAAAAAAAATCTCAGGATAGACATGTAACTGGGTTTTAGTTTTAGGGTTTGGGATATATATGTGTGTGTTCCATGTAATTAACACTTTATTTTTTAAATTTTTTTTTTTAAAAAAAATCTCAGGATAGACATGTAACTGGGTTTTAGTTTTAGGGTTTGGGATATATATGTGTGTGTGTTTGTTTGTTATTTAACATGTTTACTTATACTACTTGGGTAGTTGGTGATTTGGGTTTTTTAAGCTTGTATGTGTTTTAAATTCAATTTAATGAAGATATTGAGCATGACTTAATCCATTTTCTATTCACAAAAATGGATTACAATGGGTTTAGCCTATTAGCCTAAGCTGTTTTTATTGATTTATGTATGTATGTGCTAGTTTAATTTGTTGTCAAGGGTATGCTAATAGATTAAGATGTGTTATCCAATATCTGAATTAATAGGTTTCTAAGTGTAGTTAGTTAGTTTGCATTATGTCTATAAAATGTAGGTAATGGGAAGGAGTGTCTAATTGTTGCAATTGCAATGGTTTGGACTTCACTTTGACAAGTCTCTAGAATTTAGACATTGTTATTTTGACAAGGAAATGTGGTAATTAGTATGGACAGCTGGAGGACTTTTCAGATCAAGTGTTACCCAATCTGAAATGAGTAATTTGCTGTTTAGTTTGTTTGACCTCAAAATCTTTTATGTCATTGGGGAATTTAAGAAGAATGTTCAAAAAACGCTTTTTCATTGTTGGCTAGGAAATTTTCAAGAAATTTGGCCTGCAAACAGTTTTGCTTAGCAGTGATATAAAATAAAAGCATTTTTGTTTGTTATTGCTGTTTGCTATGTTTAAAGTGATATATTATTACTTGCAGAAATTAGCATAAAATGACAGTTCATTACTATAGTTTATTAGCAAATGGCTTACTTATCAAACGAGAAAACGGATTTGATATTTTCTTATTCTGCAAATGATCAGTCAACAACCTTCTATGGGTTGGCTTTTTGTGCAATCCGTCAACTTGTGCTTTAAGATGGAATAATTCTGATAGTTCATCCATTTCTATTGTTTGGATTGAACTACGAACTTTGAAAGTTGGGGAGAACTGGAAATTTTCTTTGTTTTGTCTGTTGGGATTTACAATTTTGAAAATATGGTTACACTTGTTATCTTGCTTATTTACCGGTATTAGAAATATAGTTACCCATTTTAAATTGATCATTTACCCACTTCTGTTCTTTCCTCCACTACAGCTGACAGTACAAAAAAGGCTGATCCAAAGGCACAGGCCTTGAAGGCTGCCAAGGCTGTGAAATCGGGTTCATCAACCCTCAAGAAAAAAGTTAAGAAGATCCGAACAACAGTTACCTTTCACAGACCGAGGACATTGAAGAAGGACAGGAACCCCAAGTATCCACGCATTAGTGCCCCTCCGAGAAACAAATTGGACCATTATCAGATCCTGAAATACCCATTGACTACTGAGTCTGCAATGAAGAAGATTGAGGATAACAATACCCTTGTTTTCATTGTTGACATCCGTGCTGACAAGAAAAAGATAAAGGATGCAGTGAAGAAGATGTATGACATTCAGACCAAGAAAGTGAACACTTTGATCAGGTAGCTATCGTTTAACATACTTAACTGTAACGAAGGATTTTAGCTTGTTAACATGTAGTAGTTTTACACAAATCGCAGCCTATTAAAATTTGGAACAATTTACTTTTCAAAATATAAACAAACAAACATATAAATATAGGAAAAGCTTGCAGTGTATTAAATATAAGAACCAAGTGTTATTAGTGGTTAAGCTTCTGAAGAAACATATTCTACTATTCGTTTTTTGGTAGAATTCTTCCATAAAATGCTGGTTTCTTTCATGGGGGATGGCTCTTTTAGGCTGCGTTTGTATCTAGGATTGGGGTTGGGATTTGGAAAGGAAAGGATAAGGAGAGGGAAATGGATCTGTCTCTTTCCAAATCCCTACCCAAATGCTAGTTCCAAACAAATCCTTAATGTCCAATTTTGTACAATCAAGATTAACCACGCAGACCTTGTCAGTTGACTGGTTTTGGACACTCGTGATTGATTTAGTACATCAATATTGTTTAATGAGTAAAAATTCAGTTTACATCTCTCTGCTGTATGCAAATTCAGTTGTTATATGTGCTCCATTGTTTCTCCCAAACTAAAGAGAGAGAGTTTAGGCAACTTGAAATAACCCAAGTTTGTATTCTTGTGGTGCAGGCCTGATGGTACCAAGAAGGCATATGTTCGGTTGACTCCAGACTATGATGCCTTGGATGTGGCAAACAAGATTGGAATCATCTAAAGATCGATTTACTTGTCCTTTTATCTAGAGCAAAACCATTTTGTTGGTACTATTACAGTTTTGTTAGCTGTGTTGGTCTTGAATAGCAATGCAGTTGTGTAGTCTGGTTATTTGAAATGTGTGTTAGAATTCTGTTGGCATTTCAACTTTTGACATAGAAACGTAATTTTAATTTTCATATAATTGATTTTGATACAAATGGTTATGATGATGATGATGATGATGAATCTTTTAGTGTTTTTTTTGTTTTGTATTTTTTTTAAAAAATTATTTTTGGGTGGAGCTATTCTAGAATGGATTACATCAATCCATCGCCGAAGTATGCCATGACACTATCATCACCACATCCACCACTAACACAACTACTAATACATTGGTAAGAATGCCTTCACATTCTCTTCATGTTGGTAGAAAATATTTCTAATTTAAGTAGATAATTGTGAATTATTTTCTTATTTCAGTTTGTTTCAAATATTAGAATGGGGAAATTACATAAAAAGCTCTAGAATTTCACGTGTTTTGCAAATTAAACTTCATAGTTTCAATGTTTAACAACTTAAACCCCCGACTTTAAACCTGTGTGTAACGTGAACACTCTGTCCATTTTCATTTGTTCTCTTTAATGGAACAATTTTTGGGTGAGAAAACAATCCCTAAGTTGATGTCACATGCCTAGGGCATGCTTACAATCCCCAATTCAGTTTCCAAACTCAAACCCAACACCTCTTAAATTAGGGCTTTTGGGAGTCTGAGAAGTTCTCCAAGTCATACCTAGCTAATCTAGTGTTGCAATGGGTAGCCAAGGAGGAGTTGGGAACACAGGCACTCAACATTGATGTTAAATGGGTGGAGCAGTCCACGATACTGTGCTTACTTTTTTGGGAAATGGAAGTTAAATGTTATGTTTTTGGATAATATGTTTAAGTTTATTTTGGTGAATGAAGTAGATGCTGATGGGATTTTTTTTGGCAATTCAAAAAGTAATTTTTGGTTATGGAATGGAATTGTGATGTTCTTATGAATGCAGAAAGTGGGATTGTGATTATATTGAATTTGTAATGGGATTGAGATCTTTTTGATGCAGAATGTGGGATTGTGTTTATACTAGAATTGTGATCTTGTATTTTTGAGATGTATGTTGTTGTAATGGATTTGGATCTGGGAGTTTTTGGAGAATGGTTTGACATGGATGGCTTTGGAGATGAGATTTGACATGGATGGCCTACATACATATATATATATATATTTGATATATATATTTGAATCAAATATATATATATATATATATATGGGCAATTTTTAAGTGTGTGAGTACATATCTTATGCATTTGTGTAAATTTTCACAAATATACATAAATTATTTCATAAAATAACGTAAGTTTTCATAAACATGCGCAAGTTAATCTATAAAAATTTGAGAAATCACAACTTACGAATATTTGTGGAAATTTACTTGATTTTATGAGGTAACTCGTATATATTTGTAAAAATTTATTCAAACAGATATGGTATGCATCTTGCACACCCAAAGACTTCCCTATATATATGTTTGGGGGCCTACTGATGTTTTTGTTCAGTGTGATGGATGGCTTTCAGGATGAAGTATCTAGTATTCACTTTTTTGGTAATAAAATCTCTCTGGTTTTCCCATGCACATTGGTTTTCTTCCTTCTTGCTGGCAGATTGTGAAATGTGATTTGAATTATTAGTTTATTTTAATTTTCGCAAGAGCAGATACATGAAGGGACTCTGCCTTGGAGGAATGGTGAGCGTACATACAGCAAGCTGTTGAAACCCTTTTATCTGAGATATATATGAAATAAATAAATGTGCAATTGATTTAGTAAAAGTTGGGTTATGCATTTGTTGCTCACACGAGGGTAGGGTTTGAACTTTGTTGTATTGGTGACCTATTGCTTTCTTTAAAGAGATAGTTGGGATGGTTTTATAATGGTTCACTGAAATGAAATCGACTTTTCATGCCCAACTCTTGTGTTTTGATATAGATTTTCTTGGAAAAATTATTAATTTTGGACCTAATTATATAATCAGATACAATTTTTTAAATGAGCGTATAACTCATAAAAAAATAAAATTCACTTTATATGAGAAAATTTGTCTCTAATTTTGCAATCGTTTTTTTGTGTTTTTAATCTTGTGATAAAATATTTGCTTTTTAAGAATGAGATCAAATAATTTGAATTTAAGAAATATATTCAAACTTTTAGGTTTGATTTATATATATATATATATATATATATATATTTTAAAGTAAGTTTGGTTGGGTCAAACAAAGAAGGGCATATTTTGGCCTTGCATTAATGAAATGTTTCCTTGGCAGAATATCAATGGGAAGGAATAAACAAAAAATTGTCAAAGCCTAAAAAGGCAAAATAAGAGTAAGAGGGAACAGAGGGAAACAACATAAAATGGGATTGGAATGGACTGGCATTATGCACAAAAGCACCACAGCAATGATGCCCTTTCCATATCCCTGGCCGTTGACCGGAGGGAGGGCCGTAGATTTTGTTAGGCTTCTTTCCATGTCCCTGTTTGAGCAAGCTATTGATTGATTGATTTCACTACTAAACCAATTATTCTCTTTGTTCTACATGAGCTTCTCACTGTTTAAGAGGCAAGTTCTATTGAGAGTGGGATTGATTGAGATTTCCAGCATAGCCAAACAGACCGAATGGCAAGCTTCATTACCATTTGATAAATCTTGTTGGTTGGACTCTTCCATTTACTTCATAGTGCCTTCTCGAAAAGGGAAAACTTCCCATTTCCATCAGATGAACCAGTGATTTATTTTTAATGTTCCGGAAATAGATGCTTATCATGATGTCTCGTAAGGATGCTAAACAATTTTTTTTCCGGGTAAAATAAAGAAAATTATATTAATGAGGCACAGGGGGGTGCAATACAAAGAAACTCTATCCCAACTATACATCAAAAACCTATTCAAAGGCTTCTACAAAGTCAAAAATTGGTTCTAGGATAGATTGACCACCTCCAACCATACAAGAAAGACAAAATCTACTCTTTAATCTAAAAAATAGGCTCTTCTTTTCCATGAGGACATTTTAGAACACAGGAAAATACTTTAGGAAATAATTGTGTTACCATAATTTTGTATTACCTTGTGAAAACTTATTTCCCATGCATTTTTGTGCAGTTTCATACCTGTTCCTCTCTATCATTCTACCCAAGTGTCTCTCCTTACTCTTTACTTTTCAACATTATTGGGAGTGTAATCTCTATCATTCTACCCAAGTGTCTCCCCTTACTCTTTACTTTTCAACATTATTGGGAGTGTAATCTATTTCTTTATCCTATCTCACATCTTGCATTTGGTTCCTTTCCAGCAAGCATGGTTATTTCTGATGGACCATTATTTTTATAAAATTAAATAGCATGCTTATGATTGGCTACTGCAGGTTTTGAGTTATTTAGCTCTTGTAAATGTGCTTCTGCCCTGTTTCTTTCTTTATTCTCCTTTGGAATGTAAGCTGCATGACACATTCCATCTATTGGTGCATTCTTTTATTAGTAATAGGATTCTGACCATACAAGTCTGATGGATGTGCAACAGATAGTCAAGGAAGATGAAGAACCTGTGGAATTCCTTGCATTGTTGAGTTATTGGTAAGCTAGAGGAATTGAGGAGACATCCTGCAATCTCAGTAGCTCATTTTTTGTGCCATTTATAAGTCTTATTTAAATCAATACATTTAATAATTTTTAATAAATTATTTGTATATATTTTAATAATTTTAACTCTATCGTACTATAAAAATATAAATTAAATAAATATATATAATAATTTTAAATTATAACACACACAAAAAAAAAGAAACATTCATTTGATAATTTTAACCTTTCGTGCTACAAAAATGTAACTCAAATAAATATATATAATAAATTTATATGATATTAAATTATAACTTGATATTAGAAATAATTGTTATAAAATTTAAATTGATTCTAATTATTTAAGAAATTCAATATAATTAATATTATAAATAAGATAGACATAAAATAACAAATAATTTTAATATTTTATTTAAAACAAGGTGAAAAAGGAAAGTAAACTTAATTGGTAAAGTATGTACAATTCTATTAGGTTTTGATATTAAATTTTAAATTAATTGATTAAGTAGAAGTCTTTTAAATATTAAATTTTAGAAAGAATTTTGGTAAAAGGATATATTGATGCAATAGAAAGTTGAAGTGATGAATATAATAAGCACATACCTGCCGTGGAGTACACGCTGTGTTCGGTTGAACAAGGTCCTGTTCGACCTAATTTTCATAGTGCACGCACGTCCTTTCTTGGATCATATTGAGATGTTTTGAGAATATGGTTAAAAATTTCCAAATACATATATATACTTGGTGTTTGACCTAATTTGTTTCAATTTTTCAATCTAATAGTGACAGTGCTCATCAATATGACATGGCGAATCACTTAGATCTCATGGAATTGCAACAAATAAAAGTTGCAGTGTTAGTTAAAACCAAGATGAGTCTGTCTTAAGAAAGAATCAGCAGGACAAATTTTTTTGGTTGATCACTGTCTTAACATATAATTCAATGAATTTACTAAGCCCAATTTGTGTGAAAATACAGTTAAAATGGCTTTCATTTCTCCTCCATCTCTGCACATCAGTAGGAGGTGTCAAAGAGACCTATTTTTCTTTAAATTCCACAAAATTTGAAGCCAAATATCTACATTGGCAAAAAACCATAACCTTCTTAATCAAAATAGTTTTACAAAAATCTAGAAAGGTGTCTATAATTTGTTGAATGTATGGTGTAAATTTAAGCTTGATGTGGTGTGGTTCTTGATGTGGTGTGGTTCATGCCCAGGCTGAATCTGATCCACAATTAAATTCTAAATACTATTCTAGGTATTTTTTTGGTACAACATATTGTTGATAGCTTTATCTTATTTTGGTAAAAATAAATGTACAACATATAAGAGTTTTACATACTTAACTTTTATGTTATCAAAAGTGAAACTTTTGTTGCAAAAATTATTATGAGACCAATTTTAGCCGCCGCAAAAAATCCATCTCGAAAAGTACACAAAAAAAACCTATAGTGAATTTTTTTTTAAAGTATCACTAATAAATGCACTTTTAAAAGCAAAAAGTTTTAATAACGACAATAAAAATACAAAATAACACTTTTGACAATTAAAATATAATTTCTTTAAAAAGCAATTTTGTCCCTTAATTTGTTGCAATGTATGTATCTTATTCCAGTAAAGCATCTAGCCAGTAAGAACCCTAACCTTATGAAAGAACAACAAGCACCAGTTTGGGAAGCGGCTTAAAAAGCCAGCTTTTTGACTTTTTATATTTTTTAGCCAAAAAAATCAGCTTTTTTACCCAAAAGAACCCAACTTTTTGCCAAAAAAGTCACCAAAAAAGTCAAAAAGCCAAAAAATCAACTTTTTACCAACTTTCCAAAACACCACTCAGCCGGTAATCCTTTTAGTGCCATGTGTAATAATTCTTCACTGTCAACAGAGATTGAAACAATTGAAGTTTGTAGCGTATGGCCTTGATTCATTGAAGATAAACATCTATTGAATTAGATCATTTCTTGACGTTATGAAGCCCTGTTCTAGGACTCAAAATGTGTTACCTAGACAAAGAAGAGAACCTTCGTTCGAGAGTGTGCTAGACTCCTTGTGATGAGGTCTGTCCAATCACCAAAGCCAAAGCTGATGAAGATAAAGTGGAATTGATTAGCGTGATCAACCCTTGATCCATAACATTCCACTGATGAAAATCTGGATTCTCTGCATCTGTGATTTCGCCTTTATCATCACAAAGAAATTGTGTGGGACATGGTTTGGATCCAACTATAATCCCTAGGAGATCATAAGCACGAAGAATTGATGTAATATGATATTTCCACAAAATGAAATTTGAAGAATCCAATTTAATCGAAATAAGATTTGACATATTTGAGAGTAAGAATATTGGACTCTGATGTATGGATTTCATTGCTGCTGTAGAATCAAGTGGAACGGCTGTTGACGGAGAAGTTGCCATTGTTAGTTGGTCTTGAAGCTCTGATACCATGAAAGAACAGCTTCTACTGATAGAAAGCCAGGAAGCAGAGAAGAATAAGAAAGAAAAATGAAGAACTAGCTTTTATTATTAATTTCTTGAGAGAGAAAACAATACAACTCAGGTTTTTATATATTCTGAGCCTCAACTAAACTAGACCAAAACAGACGTATCTTTCTAATGCCAGCTGTCACGAACTAATTACAACCAACTAACAGCAAATCAGTTATGAGCTAACACCTTACACCACAAAGTTGCTATATAGTACTTATACATCTCTCAGTGAAATTAAAAAAAAAAATGGAAGCGAGTGAATTTGATAATCTTGATTATAGTTGATTGATGACCACTGCAATTTTTAGTTTGGAAAATTATAAATATTACTCTGCATGTGATAATTGTTCTCTCTTACAGGCAAAACTCTTTCTAATGCCAGCTGTCACGAACTAATTACAACCAACTAACAGCAAATCAGTTATGAGCTAACACCTTACACCACAAAGTTGCTATATATTACTTATACATCTCTCAGTGAAATTATTCAAGCTCAAGCTGCACAGTCAAGATATATAAGTTGGCATGAGCTTCACTCATCGGCAAGTTTAATGTCATAAAAGGGTTGTTTGGTGCAGCTTATGGAGTGGCTTATAGTGTATTTATTTTTGAAATATGTACTAGAGTATTTGGTGCAACTTTTGCTTACAACTTATGCAACAAAAATAACTTAAGGTTGTGTTTGGGGCATGTCTTCGCGTAGGAATTTGAAAGAGAATGAGAAAGTGTGTGAAATGTAGTTTAATTCACATTTTACCTACATTTTCCTTATTAAATTCCTACCCAAATTCATGCTCCAAACACAACCTAAAGAAGCAGGAAAAAGTTGATTCTAAGAAGCAAGGAGAGAGGTAATTTTAGCATTTGTTTGTTGATTATCAACTTTCAGCTTGCTAGAAGCTACATCAAACTAAGCCCAAAATCTACCATCCTATGTTGACACAGCTGTGTTAACATCAAACTGATAGAAACAAGATTAGTACCTCAGTGAAGCCCGCACCCACGAAGAGATCCCTCACATTATGCAAACAAAAAAAGTAGGAACGAGTTCCATTAGATCGTTTTGTCTGGCTCAAATTGAAGCATCGTCATGTCGTAAAGGCCTGAGTTTTCATCACACTAATAATTTCAACAAGTTCCAAATATGGTTCAGTAAATAAAACTGAAAAAGAATTTCAGTGTTTCACTTGTCCATCCTTAAAATGTTTTTGATAGCAACAATTCACTGGTATAAATTCACTTGTAAGGGTTCAGGATTTTCATCCAAAATCAAGCAAGAAAAATAAAAGCGAATATATATATATTTTTTAAATTACTGCAGCAAGATAAAAGTCTTCCATGCAACACATTCAGTATAAAAATTTGAAGAAAAATTTTCATTTTGAGCAAACAGTCCTAACCAAAATCCTATGAATACATATACATTTATGTTTTTTGTTGGGAAATTACCATAATCTCTGAATAGAAGTAGGCCACCAGGTTTCAATACAGTGAAACATGCTGCAATTGATGTTGGCATCCTGTGAAGTGGTAATGCCGACAGCATGGATAACTGACAGCCACAAAATACAAGAAAAAAAATCAGGATCCGAAATTCATCATATTCTTTTCTTCCTAACAGATTTGAGGTGCCACAAGTTCAGGGTCTTCGAAGTTCTATTTAATATTCATGCAGGGCATCAGTAAATAAGTTCTGAATTTCATTTACAAAAAGATGAAAAGCCTTGAATATACCAAGGCAATGGATTGGTTTGTCAAATATCTAAGTGGTTCTTGAATGATTAGACTGTAATATTGTCAAATTTTCAGGCATATTTAGGCATGGCAACAAAATCATAACGCCTAGTTTTACTAAGAACTAACATTACAGAAAAAAAGTAATAAAGACTCATTGGTCAAATTTAAAAAGTGATGAACAAACATTAAACATAGAATTTCACATGAGTAGTTCAACTATAATCTAGAAATTCACTCAATAACTCATATCAAACATCTAAATATTCAGATTGATATTCCTTAAGATATTTGAACATTTGTACTTAGGCTGTGTTTGGATCTTACGCTATGTTTGGTTGGAGGATTTGAGGAGGGATTTGGAAAGGGAAAGGGAAAGGGAAAGGGAAAAGTTAGGTGAAATGTGAATAAAATATACTTACATTTCACCTAGTTTCACACACCTTTTCCCTTTTTCTTTCCAAATCACTTCCCAAATCCCCCAACCAAACACAGCATTAGAGTTGTGGAGGGATTTGTGAAGGATAGGAAAGGGAAGGGAAAAATGAATGAAGTAGAAGTAAAGTTTATTTCACTTCTCCTTTTCCTCCACAAATCCAAACACAAAATTTAAGCAACCACAGCTTCTAATGCCGATTATGCAGCAACCAATTACATTATAATTCTTCAAAGAAAAAAAAAGAAGTAAAGTCTTACAATTGTGTTCGTATTTTGGATTTGACGAGTGATTCATGAAGGAAAAGAAAAGGAGACGGAAAAGTAAAAAAAAATTGCATTATACTTCATTCACATTTCCTTCCCTTTTTTCGTTCCCTCCATAAATGTCTTTTCAAATCTAAGATCCAAACACAACCTAAGAGGATATGTAGACAGACCCATTTCACCTCAATTTCCAACTTCAAATGCCCAACAATGCATCAAGACCCATTTTTGGAAAACTAGCAACATACCAAAGGTCACAAAATCCACCCCCACCAAGGCAGCATTTACATTCCTTCAAAGAAGAAAAATCATTTAACCCTGCCACTCTCTTGTCTTCAACATCTGCGAAAGCAGAAAAAAAATTAGCTGAGTTCCTGGTAATAGCACACAAAATTATGACATGTACAAAGAAATGGATAAAGTAACTAACCTGAAAGACAAATGTCCTGCTTTTGCAGAATAACTTCCCTGCAAGGATCATAGGACAACCACTTGAGAAATCCACAAATAGAAAAATCACAAGGGAATGGATGAAAACTGTGCTTTTCCGAGACTAAATCAGCTGCATCTATCACTTCTTCAGCCCTTCAAAGAGCCTCAATGCTACAATCGCATGAGTATACAGTGATGCTCTCTTTTCCACTAAAAGATGGGAGAAAATGCATATCAGGTTTAAGGCCAGAAACCTAAGGATATTGAATTAATCTCTGCAAATTCACATGCTACTCAAGATTGCAATTTAATTTTAACAAGAAAGTTTTTGAGGACCAAAAGAAAGAGATTCAAATGATCAACCCCAAAGCCTAGAAAAGGGACATATGACACCACTGCCCAAGAAGGGTACTTTTTTTTTTTTTTTTATCGACAAATGTTAGTTGTTAGATTAGCACCTATAGTAAAAAATCTCCCTACTCTCGACAAAGTATCTAAGTGCTTGCACTCCCTTAATTTAACTCTCTTAAAGGGAATTGAACCCATGACCTCCTTGGACTAAGCCGTGAGGAAGACATGGAACCCATGACCTCCTTGGACTAAGCCCTAAGGAAGACATGGCCAACTAGGCTAGGCCTAACTGGTTCCCCAGAAGGGTACTTATCTATTCTTCCAATTATGTCACCCTTCTATCTGCCAAAAAAAACTTATTCCAAACTGCCCTGCAGGAGGACATATCTCACCAACCTCGGGAAATTTAAGAGCATGTGATTGCAAACACAGATAGATTAATTTTCTTTTTCTTCAATTTCCAAATCAATAGCTGCAGGCCATAACCTACCACCAAACAAGAAAGCCTGATATGGGAACACCTCCTATTGTGTTTCACCACCTATTGTCAATTGACACAAGTTGCTGGGAACACTTTTGAAGTATAGTTCTGAAATTCCAAACAAGCGAAAGTAATATGAATTGAAAATAACCAGGACTAGCATGAAATTTCTCTTGATATCTCCTTCAAATGTGTGCCTCTTTATCTCCAAATTTACCTTCCCTTTCCCAACTTTGATATCCCCTTTGGTTTGTAAATATCTAATTCCAAATTAATTCCTAGGTTCAGCTTTGGTCATATCGTAAACCATGTCGTTGTCTTCAGTCATCTCCATCTTCAAGTCGCTGGGGGAAGTGGGTGTCGTTTGGGGAAGGGTTTGAGAAGAAAAGGAGCGCTAATTCTGTAGAGTAGGGTCATGGTAAAAATTAATTTTAATTTTAGATAAATTTGAAATAACAAATAAGAGAAAGACCCCTGTTGATGAAAAAATTCTCCATTACACTCACTAGATGGAAATAAACTAAGGGTAGACGCGAGTTGATTGTGGTAACGAAACCTCCAATCTATCATCTTTTTGTTAGATTGACGGATTGAAAAAAATTAATTTGCATCCGTTCACTAATTCGGTGGATGTGAATTGAGCGGATTGACGAATTGACAGATTGATACGATTCGGTTTGACAGTTTAAAATTTTATAAATTTTCAATATAAATGAACTTGTGCACTTCCTAAAAAAAAAAAAAAATTAATTACAATCAATGACTTAAAAAAGTATTTACAATCACTGCATGCTTTATCCAAAAAAAGAAAGTTTGAAACTTCAGAATATTACAATCACTGCATGCATCATCCACATATTACAATCAGCTTTATCCACATAAAGTATTACAATCTATGGATTTGAAAATAAAAAAATAATTCAAACCACCAAAATCAGGAACAGAGCAGTAGTAGAGATTGTATGACTCTATATTGTTACATTTATTTCTGTTTTTGAAAACAAAAACCAACCAGCATATATCATCTTTTTTTATTTATTATTTTTAGAGTTAGATTTAAAACTAAAAAAATATAGATAAATAATACATTTTTTTTTTCAATTCAAAAAATATATTCAAGTTCAAAACTTTTTTCAACAGAATATTTAAAGTCTTTTTCAATTGAAACACAAATACAATATCTAAACAAATTGAAAATATAAAGTCTTATAAATTAGTAGGGGTGCTTGCGGTTTGATGGTTCGGTTGCGGCTAAAGGAACCTTAAATCTGCCATCCGTCCAAAACTAAGCGGATTGGAAAAAATCAATCTGCAACCGTCCGCTTGTCATCACGTATCCGTCCAAAATGTGGCGGATCAGTTCGGTTTGGGCGGATCGATATATCCGCTGCTCACCCCTAAAATAAACGGATGATTGAGTTTGATGTAATATTGAAAATGTAAAGTTTAAAATGAAACAATTAAAAGTTTAGAATTTAATTTGTAATAATAGTTAATTTTTTTTTAAAAAAAATGTATTTTTTAATATATTTTATTTTAATTTTAACCTTTATTAAAATATGAATTGGACTTTTTAAAATTACGTTATCAAAGGATTATCCACCCACATAAAATGCAAGGTAAAAAAAATTGAAAAATTATTGAAATACCTCTATCTAACTTTGTATAATAGAAGAGGTTTAAGATTTTTTTTTTATTCGCTAAGGTCCCTCAATAAATTTTTTTCTGTAAAAAATGAAATTTCTCTGTGTCAGGGCTGAAATTTTTCTGAGCCGAGCCGAAATTTCTCTAAGTTAGGTACAAATTTTTCTGAGTCGAATTTTCTCTGTGAAAATGTTGAGAGACTCCAATTATTATGAAAATATTGTATGTCTTTTATCTTATAAAATCTTAATAGACATTAAAAAAATTTCCTATTGTGTTTGGTTTAAGAATTTAGAAAAGGAAAGAAAAAAAATCGGTGAAATATAAATAAAATATACCTATATTTTACCTAATTTTATACATATTTTCTCTTTTCCTTTTCAAATCATTCTCTAAATCCATGAACTAAACACAAACTCAGTACATTTGAAAAACTAGTTAATATAGTAAAAAAGACACTGAAAAGTCACATAAAAAAGTCAAAATTTTATTTTCATTATTTCTCTATTTTTTGTTAATTTGTTTTGTAAAAATAAAAAAAAATATATTCTTAAATATCCGTTTGGTTTAATTTTAGAATAATGATTTGAGTGTGGAGTTGTATTTTGGTTTTTAGAAGTTAAAGCTAATTTTTGGACCATTTTATATATCAATAACAGCTAAACATACAGTGGATGTCAAGCCATTGCTGGGTTAAAAATTAGGGTGGCAATAGAAGTTACATTACTAGAAATGGTTTTGGTCTATTTGTTAGGTGGGATCCATACGCCAAAGTTGGTGGGTCTAAGTGGTAACGTGTTCTATGTCGCGTTGTGATTCACATAGTATATTTGATTGCTCAAAACCATTATCAGGTGAATGGGAAATTGAAACCAAAATGAGCGCCATGAAAATAGAGTTTTTGGTGAAAATTCCTTAATGTTTGAATAAAGGCTTGTCCCACATTAGTTTGGTGGAAAGAATTTTGTGGGTTTATAAGGCATGTGATTGTAACTTGGAGAGGATCCCAAGGGGCACCCCAAGTTTGTGGAAGGAAGAGGTTATGGGAAAATTGAGCTAGACCTATTGGACCCAAAAATAAACACACGTGCGTCGCTGCCGTCCGTCCGGGCAGGCTGGGCAATACTTATCTTTTTTGTGCCAAAAATATTTGAATTTATTTTTTAATTTTTGGAAAATAAATTTTGACCGTTTGAATTCAAATTTTGGTTTGAAAATTTGCACCCTTCTGTTTGAAATCTGTCTGTTCCGTCTATACAAATTTCAAATCTATCCGTTTTAGTTCAAAAAACCCTTACCTGTTCAATTTAAAATTCAAACAAATTTGTATCTGTTTAATTTAAACTGAATAGGTACCATACCTGTTGGATTCAAACCAAACAGCCACCATTTTCATCTATAAATAGGCAGTCCCTCAATTGATTTTTTCACTCCAATTTTCGTCCTCAATTCTTCTTTACTCTCTCTGTATTTTGCTTTATTATTTTTCTAATTTAGGTCTCGTTTGAGGACTAGCCGGTTTAGCCAAAAAGTCAAAAAGTTACTAAAAAAATCAAAAGCCAACAACCCATACAAAAAAGTCAAAGATTCTCTTTTCTCTCTACTTTTTGCACATCTTTTCATAAAAAGTCAAAAAGTCATCCCAAACATACTAATTTTTTTAGCTCATATTTTAGCCAAATAGCCAAAAAATTACTAAATTAGCATGTTCACAAACGAGGCCTTATTTTCTAGTTTTAGTAACTAGAAAATTAATTTGTGTTTTGATTTTTTTCTAATTTTTGTAATAAGATATTATGGTTGCTGAAAGTAGTACTCCAAATCCGATCGTTACAACGACTTTGGTCCTTATCCAGAACCATGTTCAGGTTTCAATAAATCATGGAGAAAAATGAGAAAAATTTAATGACATTGAGCTTAAGAGATGGCAGCAGAAAATACTATTCTATCTTACAACTCTAAATTTGACCCGGTTTCTCCGTGAAGAGGCTCCAGTACTTAGAGAGGATGAAAGTGATTGGCAAGTTGTTGTTGCTGTAGACGCTTAGAAGCATTCTGATTTCCTGTGCAGAAACTACATCCTCAATAGCCTAGACAATATGTTGTATAATGTTTACAACCCTTTGAAATCAGCAAAAGAATTGTGAGATTCTTTGGAGAAAAAATACAAGACAGAGGATGTACAAAGAAATTTGTTGTCGGTAAATTTCTAGACTTCGTTATGGTAGATTCTCAAACGGTAATTTCTCAAGTTCAAAATTTTCAATTAATTTTGCATGATATTCATTCTGAAGGTATGTCTCTTTGCGAGTCTTTCCAAGTCGTTGCTTTAGTGGAAAAGTTACCACCGGCTTGGAAAGATTTCAAAAATTATTTAAAACATAAACGCAAGGAGATGACCATAGATGAATTGATTGTAAGACTAAGAATTAAGGAAGATAATCGAAAGGTTGAAAAGATGAATGGTAAAAATCCCATTGAGTCCAAGGCTAATGTGGTTGAACAAGTGCATAAACCATATAACAAAAAGAGGAAGTTTTCTAGAGATGGTCCTAAACAAGGCGACAACAATGGCAATAAGAAGTTCAAAGGTAAATGCTATAACTGTGGCAAGACCAGACATCGGGCTTTTGATTTCCGCTGCCTTAAGAAGGATTACGGAAGTACAAGCAAGAAG